CTCTCACACCGAATCTCTGCTTAAAGCTGCAGCATCTAACTTAAAAAAATTAATTTTACACACGTTTTAAAACTTTCGCTGTCCTAACATGAGACAGATAATCTCTAAAAAAAATAATCGGTCTCCTCCCTGTTCTGCATAATTACTCCGCTCAGTCAGAAACAGCCAATCAGAACTAGCAGTAATCAGCTAGCCGCCATGCTATTTGCCTTTGAATGTTTTATATATTAATGTTTTTTTTTGGCAATATAGTAAGAGGTTTTATTTTGGCTCTTTGCATTATTTAGCCTCTTCAGAGCCTTCATATGTTATCAGTCTGTTAAAGTGCTGTAACTGCTATTGTTATCAATAGCAGTACAATTTGCACAATGCCTGTTTTGTTTAGTTTTCTTCTTGAAAAAAGTTATTAAAAACAAGTTTTTGTCTAAATTAAGGTGAATTCATGGTTCCTTTTTCCACATAATGTAACCGGTACTGTTTATGGTAAAAATAAATAAATAAATAAAATAAAATAAAAATATTTGATCGGTATCGGTGATCAGCCCTCATGGGTGATCGGTATCGGCAGGAAAAAACCTGATCAGCACATCTCTAGATGTTATAGCTTATAGCAAATAAATGTAGATAAATAACAGAGTTACTAATGTGGAAGTTACATACACATAAGGAATTATTTAAAACAGACATGTTACTTTATATATACATGCAACCTCCTTTTTTTTTTTACCATCCAGCCATACAGAATTATAAATAACTGGAATAGTGTAAATTAAAGACAAAATGTAATTACTTGTAAGTTTTAGACCTATGCATGCATACAGCCATGGATAAAATACCACTATCGTTTTCTTCAGGTTTATTGCTCATTCTACAATTACTAATTCATAACAATTTGATTAGAGAACTGATATCTAGCCATTTTACAATAACAGGACGTCACATAACATGTTTTATTATCTCACAATGGGGGAAACTCAGATGCAACAGCAAAATGAGAAACAATCGAAGCACGTAGATTCATGCAAAGATAAGAAACAAGCGAAGGTAAAATGCTGTACAATATTGAGTTATTTATAACTGTAATGTGCAACCGAGTGTCTTCAGAAAATGTGCATGTTGTGTTTGAGCAATAAAAATACAGCAGACTTTGTGTTTTAAATGTCTTCCATGACTGTATGTATGCAACCTTAAATGTAGTAAAAACCAGACAGATATATCTACAAACTGCTCACCGGTTACTAAGATGACTACTAAGGTGCTACTCACCTTACTAGCCGGCACCTTCCACCTTCCACCTGCTAAACATTATTTCATAGCCTCACCTCATCACTCCAGCTGGCTTTCATCTATCAGCATCCCACTATTTAATGCCTCGCGGCGTCCCCTGCTAGCCTACATTCACTGGCATCCTATCGTCCAACGCCTCGCGGCGTCCCATGTTGGCCCCTGTCCATCCTACTCCTTATACCTTAGTCAACATCTTCCTCACTGATGCCCTCAGTGTATTACAGTCTCCTTCGGTCCCTGCAAACCCTGCATAATGTAACCTCTCCTATCCGGGCTTCGGCCCTCACTTATAGGGGACTACATTCCTATGCAGCATCAGGAATGTCCATCAAGCTTATCGCAGTTCCAGCTCGACGTCCTCGGCCGGGACCTGAACGCCAAAGGACTTTAATGTTTGTTAATAAACCTTTTAATCGCTTTCTTTCTCTGTCTTAGTCTCTCCAGATTGAAATAGGTCTGTATAGCTTTGGAGGTTGTTTACTTGTTCCATTAAATTTTCTTTAATTTTTATAATCTGCTTGTTTAATCAATCAATCAATCAAATTTTATTTGTATAGCACATTTCAGCAGCAAGGCATTTCAAAGTGCTTTACATAATTAAAATAAAAACATGTGACATTGAATAAACAGTGAAAAAGAGAAAGATTTTGAAAAAGATTAAAAAAGATAAAAACATTAAAACCCACACCCCTTTTAGGACTTCAGTTAAACATTGTTTAACTGGGACTGTAACTTAATAGACTTTTGTTATTTTAATTGTGTCATTAAATATGTACATGCTAAATGTTGATTGTGTTTTAGAAACAGATAAAAGACATCTTCAAATCAAGTCCCCAGGCTGAATTTCAATCCCAAGCCGCCCCCGGATCAGCGCTATGCAATCTGGAGCTTCACATAATATAATATATAAAATGAAGATTTTTCTTTTTCTTTCATTTTTTCCATTAAAAAAACAAACAAACAAAAAAACAATCAATCAAAAAAAAAAAAAAAACAACCTTGAACCCTGTGATAAATTTAGTCTGGGACCAATGCTGTATCTTATAATTTATCTTTATTATACTGATCGCTAAACAGGAAAAAAAAAAAAAAGCAAAAATAATTTCAGAATACTGAATACAGAATATTTTTGTGTGATAAATATAACTAAAAGAAAAAGAAAATAGACAATCATACAGGACATTGATCAGACAGCCTTACAATATTCATTGAGAGAGAAATCTTAAGGATTACCTAAACAGTCTCTGACCTAAATAATCCTTAATTACCTTCATGTTACCGTACAAAGATCATAAATTATATTACTTTACCATAATAATTAAGTTTGCATATACAAATAAGAAAGAACTGATACAAACAAACTAGAATGGCCTGATAATTCAAATAAACACAATCACCGTTACACAGTATCAAGTTTCAATAAATGTTTTTAAAGTTTAAAGGGTCATAAGGGAAGTTTTAGAATGTCCTTCATCACACCAGTAAAAATTGACATTTTCCAGTACATCTTCCTCTGGAAACCAGCAGAGTCGTTATTGCTGGTTTGAAAGAAGCCATGACAACAGGACCAAGCTGAGTGCAGTGATGAGGCTGATGTTGTGGCTTACTCCACTCGATACCGCTGCAAGTGAGGAAAACAAACACATGACCTTATTTGAAAAGAAACTTCTCTGCTATATTGCAGATTTTGTATCATTGCAATGCTAACTTATTTTTATTTGAATGTAATTTAGCTTACCTGTGTCATCCACAAGAATAGAACCAGTGTCGATGTTGAAAGTTGTGACATTCGAAGCTGCTTTCAGCAAAACCTCTGCAATTTGAATGTTGCTAGGTGCAAACGCTGCTGAGAATTTAAGGTTCATGTTGTTGATAATGGATCCGTTGCTAAAAATGAAACAAAATATCAGTTAATTTGTCCACATTTATATTTAACAATGTTTAAAATCGCCTGCAGATCATACCTGAATGAAGTTACAATGAAGTCTCGTAATGTAGGAAACTCTCGCTGGAAGAGAGGTTCAAGCTGCAGGAAGACAAAGAAAAATATTGTTCTGTAAATTAAAGTTGTAATTTTTATATATATCATTCATCCAAACTCTGAAATTACACCAAATATGATTTTTTCTGTTGTTAGTTTATGCAAAGGATCATGATAAAGGATTACCTTTCGTGTATATGTGGTATTTCACTGATGTTACATATTACTATAACTTTTGCTAAAGGGAAATGTGAATTCACAAACTGAAGAAACATTTTTTTAACCAATTTATTGCCCTGCATAAACTGTAATTCTTAAACCCACTTGATTTAAATAAAGAATTGACTGACAAGGTTCTACAGAAGTTGGTTAAAGGTTAATTGTATAACTAAACAATCTGAATCATAATTTGATATTTTAAATGTGCCATCAGACTATATAACACCAAATTCTGAGTGACTTTAAGGTTACATTTAGCCTGGACTTATTTATAGATTCAAATATTTCCATACAAGCATACATATTTGTTTTTTATTTGTTTCTTTTGAATTGCTCATAATCTTAAAGAATTCACACTTATGCATGCATTTTTAATTTTTATATCATGTAGGGGTATATTTTTCAGTATCTGACACTTTAGATGGGAGTAGCTTGTCAACAAATAAACAACTTTCCCTTCAGGATCTGGAAAATATATTCTAATTCTAAATTGGGGAATAAATTTGCACCATACAGGGTAAAGTGTACATTTTTCTAACAACCCTACCTCCCCCTATCCCGACCCCGTGGTATAGAAAATGGTTTCTTTCATTCAATTTTAATTTTTTCAATACAAAATAATGTAGACATGCTTGTACAGCTTTATGGTTCTGTCTCGCAACATATGTCAACTTGAAAGTGTTGTTTGCTAAAGCTCTTTTCCAAATATTTTACTATCAGCTGAAATAAGACTTACATATGACTTTATAAGTGCAGCTCGACTTTTAAATGCGGCAGATGATGGGTTCAGCAAATCAGTGGTGAAGGTCTCGCCACGAGACCTGAAAGTCAGTTTCCTTGTGATTGTTGCCTCCACAGTTGGAGGTGTAGTTGTAGTTGTGGTTTTGGTTGTTGGTTTAACTGCAGTAGTTGTAGTTGTGGTTTTGGTTGTTGGTTTAGCTGTAGTAGTTGTAGTTGAGTTTGGAGCCATGGTAGTGACTGTAGAATTTGTAGTGGGTAATGTGGTTGGCAAAGGTGAGCCTGCCAGAAAAAGAAAAGAAAAAAGACAGTGATGTTTAAATAAAAACTTACATTGCTCTTTCTGTGTAGTGTTATGCTACATTTTACTTACGTATTACTTGGACAGAGCCAGGTGAAAATGGGACATCCATGATAGTGTTCTTATAGGCTTTATCAATAGCATCTTCTAACGTTTTTTGTACTACTTCGTTCTTAGGGAGTTTCACAAGTGGAGTGGCTTTGTTAAACTCCACCGCAACTTCTGCTTCTGTGACATTCATTCGAATTTGGGATGCTAAAGAAACTCTGCAATATAAATATAAAAAAACAAACATGTTTAGGAAAACATATATTCATTTTTTAAATAAATAAATGAAAAATTAATCTTACCTAAATGCAATGACATAACTAGGGACGAAGGTGGGTCCAAAAACTTCCCTGTAGATCATGTCAAACTGTAGGACAAAAGATTAAGTACCATGATAAGAATATTGTATAACTGAATAATTTAATATTCCAATTGAATGTCAGATAATATGACCATAATGATACATTTTACTATGGTACTTACAACTGCTGTGATCCTTTTTGCAAGGTCCATAAATTTTTGGCTACTTTCATTTTTGAGATCTTCATCAAATTGTTCAATAATAACCACTATAACATGATAAATTAGAGCCGGAGATTCAGTTGTAGTAGTTGTAATAAGCGTAGTTGTGTTAGTAGCTGGGACTGGTGGAAAGACTGTGGTTTGGTTTGGAGTAGATGGCATTAAGGTTGGTATAGGAGCTGTGGATAGAGCTGCTGTTGTTGTGGTTGGAGTTGCTGTTGTGGTTGGAACCGCTGTTGTGGTTGGAACAGCTGTTGTGTTGGTTGGAGCTGTTGTTGTGGTGGGTGGAATAGAAGTGGTTGGGGTTGGAGCATCTGTGACTGTGGTTGGAGCCACTGTGGTTATAGTTGGCACAGCTGTGGTTGTGGTTGGAGTAGCTTTGGTTGCGGTTGGAGCTGCTGTTGTTGTGGTTATTGCTGTCATAAAAGTTATTGGAGCTGCTGTGGTTGTTGTTGGTGTAGTTGTAGTTGTGGTTGGAGCCACTGTGGTTGTGGTTGGTGCAGCCTTGGTTGTGGTTGGAGCCGCTGTTGTTGTGGTTGGAGCTGCTGTGGTTGTTGTTGGTGCAACCGTGGCTGTAGTTGGAGCTGCTGTTGTGGTTGGCGCTGTTGTGGTTGTGGTTGGTCCAGCTGTTGTTGTCGTTGGAGCCGCCGTTGTAGTTGGAGCAGATGTGGTTGTGGTCGGAGGTGTTGTGGTTGTGGTTGGAGCCGCTGTTGTTGTGGTTGGAGCGACTGAGGTTGTGGTTGGAGGCGCTGTTGTTGTGGTTGGGGCAGCTGTGGTTGTTGTNATTCTGCACAAAAATATCCGTTCATCCAAAGCCAAGTCTATCCTCAGCATGTCTTTTCTACTCTGTTTGAGAATCATCAAACTGTCTCGAAGCAAAACTTTCAGCTCCAGTGTTGGTCTTCCTTTAGTTATTATCTCCTGGTTCAAATGAAAATCCACTTTAGAAAACTGTTTAAGTGTAGAAATGTAGTCTTTCATGTTGACGTCGGACGAGAGAAGAAAACAAATATATCGCTGTACTTTACTTATTTACTGTGTGGCTAGCTCCATGGCTAGCTCACTGTGTCTTACTCTGCAGTTGTGGAGTCACAATGTCTGGGATCATGAGCGCCCCCTGCCATGAGGCAAGAGAACTGCCTGCCTCCCCCTGAGTCTGTTCTCTGCCGTTTCTGATCGCTCCTCTGCACACAAAACACGATACACACACAATTGGTGACAAAAAACACTGTACATTATATACATAAGCCATCCATCCATACATACATACATACATACATACACTATTGTCCCTAGTGTCCCTTGCGGGAGGGTTGCTGGTGCCTATCTCCAGCGAACGTTTCGGGCGAGAGGTGGGGTACACCCTGGACATGTTACCAGTCTGTCACAGGGCTATACGTAAGCTAAATTATGGAAAATAATTTCATATATTAAATGTTTTGTAACCATCTTACTGGCGACATACAGACAGGAGGAACATGGTCTCATCGAATGGCAGCCAGCGCACTTAGTGAGAGGTAGCGCAGTCCAAGATGAGGCTCAGCTCGCTGCTGCGTCATCAGCTACGCTTCTGAGCATTTGAATGGGAAATTGCGAAAATTCAACAATTTTTAAGAAAAAAAAATTAAATTGATTTAACAAAATGAAAAATAAATACTTTATCATACAAACCACAGGGTAAAAATAGCAATATAAATTATCTTATCATTACATATTATTTTTCCATCATCCCCTGACCGCACATCACTGCTGCAGCTATTGCGGGGTGGGATGGTGACTTAAAGAAGTGGTGATCTGACCATCACTGCTACCTCGTCAGATTGTCCTACCGTAACATGGATAGATAGCAAGTCTGTCAGTGCTACGCGTCCAAAACTCCTACTGTCATGTTTACAAACAATAGCGGGTTATTAACATGTGTTAATGTTAAATACATTGGATAACATTATTTGAGTGACGGGACTGGAGTGAAAGCTTAGGAGTTATGCTTAGCATAGCATTGGAACAATTTATATACACGACGAAACCACAAGATCACTTCCTTCATCTGAATATCCTACCTGTTTGAAATGAAAAGCTATGGATGTATGCAGTAATCCTTTTACTAGAATATCCTACCTGTTAAAAAAATATTTTAAATACAAAGGTATAAAGAATAAAACTGTATCAGACAGGGGAAACACGTTTTTATTGGAATTAAATTAAACACAGACAAATACAGATTACCGCAACTAATTTTTTTACGCTTTATGACAGCTCAGCCACAATGTGTCCACCGAACTGTGTAGGTCACTGAGTTCCTGAAATGATGGGACACAGCTATTAACACATCTTCAATCCCACATAGTATCGCTACCAACATCTATTTAGCAAAGTTTAATAATAGAAAAAAGAGTGTAAGTAAAATAGTTTAAAATATAGGGACAAAATTGCCCACAAAACAACTTGTCCTGATTAACCACCAAACAATGACTTATTTACAGTACTAACGACTTTGCAGATGGCAAACTAATGCCACTATATTTGCAAGCTGCCTGTCATGTAAACTAAAAACATTAAGTAATACAGCAGCTTAATAAAAGCCAGGTATAAAATAAATTAAATAAAGCTTACTGTAATCTTTGATTAAATAAAACACAAGAAACGATACTTCCACAGGTAGGACATATTTATAAGAAATCTACTGAGTAAGCAGTATGTTACGTAGCATCGATGTGCGCATGTGCATTGCTACAAGGTAGGATGGATTTATGGGTAGCACAGATAAACAGAACAGCGGCCTCAAATAGCCCACACTAGCATATTTAGCTACTTCATTGACTTGGTTGCTTTGGACGCAGATGTGGATTTTCTTCAGTTGCCTTTTTGTCCACACAATGAATCAAGCACACACACTTAATAAGTTGTAATTTAAATAATACATAACTTGTATTGAGAACCACTGCAATAAATCAATATTTATGAGGAATTTTATTGAGTGGACTCACTCATTAAACTTTTCATTTTCAGCCTTAAATGTTTGTAAAGGTGTAGCAGAGGTTGGATCTGTGAAACTGAGCCAAATTCATACATTTCAATTTTAGTTTGACTTCTATGAGTCTCAACAGTTTGTTTACTGAGAAAAACACATGCTTGAGCATTACCACTTACTAGTCATTTTTGGTCTTGCAGTTTAAACACATTAAGCACTTTTTAAACCACATTAAAAAGTGCTTAATGCATTACATTTCACTGTTACTTTGCCGTCCCCCAAATTGCTCTTTATAAAATTTTATTGTTTATTGTCCCCCTCCACCCCAATAATGAAATGGGATTTCCTCCCTTGAGCACACATGAAGCATTTTGGGTTCTCTTTTCAAGTTTAGATTTTTTTTTTTAATTTTTTTAGCCAAATTCTTTTTGTTTTTGCATCTGTTGACGATGAGAACTACTGCTCATCACAGAAACACTGCCTTTTTCTTTTGGGAGCACATTCAAAACACACTAGCTCCAGCCCCAAATTAAATTTCGTCTCCTTATTAGAGTACAGCTATGAACAGCGTAACAGTTACCCGAGCTCCGCAAAAGCATCTTGCAGTGCTTTCCACTGACAAGTTGGTCTCTGATAAGAAAAGACAAGTTGATGTGCGGTTCGATTCGGTTCTAGACCAGTGGGGAGATTCTCCATATTACGGTCTGGAGCGCAGCAGCTATGGTCATTTCTTTGCTGATTTGCAGCAATACTCAGCAGTGAAGAACCTTGAGGTTCTGGTTCTGATGGACTTAAATAAACCCAGATATTTAAATTTGTTTTATAAAAAAATATTGCTTGTCCAAACATAATGATAAAGACTCAGATCATAAACTTTATTATTTTTTTAAAATAGACTAGCAAAAAAAAAAAAAAAAAAAACAACCCTACAAATTATAGTGAAATACTGCTACTTCCAGAGAACACTGGAAGTGAGACCCATAATATTCCGAGGAATAAGGTGGATAAGAAAAGAAAAAGATAATCACACAATTTGTCTACAAATATAATTTTGTATATCACTTGCTTATCGTAAAATATATTATTGTAACTTATGTAACATATATTTGTTTAGTGCTGACTTTGTTTATTTGATTATTAAACAGCTTTAAGAAGTAAATAAGTATTAAAAATGCAACAGTCTCCTTCAGGAATCCAAGCAGAAGCCTTTGAAGTTGCACTGCTGCTAAAAGGGGAATCTAATTTTAAATTATATCATCATAATACTCTAGAAAATATCTACTGCTTTCAAGTTTCTTGAACAAAAAAAGGCCAAATTGCCAAATCAGTGTTTGAAAGGTTCAACAGATCATTCAGAAAAATGGTTCAAAAGCATTTACGTCAAAGTTTGGGTTAAGTCTTGCCTCAGCATTTCCTCCAGGTTATTTGGATTCTGAGACACTGTAATACTTAATTTAATTTATATCTCAGCCATTCTGTTGTAAATTTGTTATTGTATTCAGAATCACATTTGACTCTATAATACTTTTATACATAAGACTGCAAAGCAAGCCCACATCATCAATCCCCCACCAACATTCTGTTTGTTGATGGAAAGTCCTGTTGACATAGTGGTGCTGTCAGTTCCAGCTGAGCAACGCCTTCAGCTCGTCTGTTTAAACTGTTCCTCCAGAATAATAGCTGTCTGTTTATGATCAGCTTATGAACATCATTAGCCCATGCAGCATTTTTTTTCCAAGACAAAAAGTGACCCTTCTATTCAGTAGTTGTTGTTTTTTTTTTTTGTTGTTGTTTTTAATCTTGCTTAGTAATTTTTCATGCGTCATCTTCTGGAATTGACCGTCTTGCAGAATGCTATAGAGTTGCAAATTGGTGTTTTTAAAAGAGGCTGTCTGTCATTTAGATTGATGTCCTAAATATTCATACACATACCTGCAGCTTTATATTAGAAAATACTTTCATTCAGCTGAGAAGTTTTTCTTTCTTAGATAAAATTATCAAATTATAACAAAATTCTAATTTGTTTCAAATTCAAAAATACTTTAGTGATCCCAAAGGGAAATCCAGGGTCTAGAGTTGTCCATAATTGTCTTAATTTTATGAAGAATCCTCCTTTGCATCATCGTCTCCAGAGGTTCCATGGTCGTCCCCAGAACAGAGCCAGCCGTCTTTGTCAGGTTGAGCAGTTCTGATGCTGCTTCCCCAACAGATGACGGCAGAAGAGGTGGCTCTCTCAATAACAGGCTTACAAAATATCTTAAATGAGTATCAATCTGGAAAAATTGTTTTTTTTTTATACAATTGTATTTTAAAAATGACCAATTGAGTAATGAATGAAAACACTTGTCTGAGAGTCTGAAAAGCCT